AATAATGCAGAATTTTAATTACGGTATACGAAACGATGCATCGCGTATCGCGATTCGGTGTTGCCGGCCACGACTCGGACGGATATCGAGACGAGGCTTCTCGAGTGTACCGGACGAACGCCGGTTCGCAGCAACGATACTAATTACGATACATCTCGATCGGTCCGCGCTATATAATCGCCGGTAATTGTTGCTCGACCGATGATTAATTGTCCGAGGGTCTCGGGTGCGCGCTCTCGCGGAGGCGCGTTACGCGCGACAGCTCGCCGTGTTATTATAAATAATAATGCTAATCATCGTTCGGACACTCCGTTTATCATAGACTTAATTATAGATCGGTGGATTAATCACAGCGTCGAGAGGATCCGACGGCCGAAGGTGCGGCGCGGCGCGGCGCGGCGACGCAAGCTCGCTTCCGCAGGACTTTTTCGAACATTTGGATCAATTTCACTTTCCCGAAGGCTACGTTGCAAAATTAGAAAGTCGTATAGTTTACACGCATGGCTGCATTCTCTGTCGTTACGATCGGATCGGACCAATCCGAGGAAAGCGATCGCCCCGTTCGTTATCCGCGATTCTGCTCCCAGTTGTTCGCGGTTCGACGACAAAATATTAGGGACTTTCGAATGCCCGGTTTTCATCGCTTCCTCGTTCGCTCGCGTTTAGATTCTAGACTTCCTCGCGCTTCTTTCGATTAAAATGCGACCCGCGCGCTCGATTCTAATATCCAGCCCCGCGAATCGCGCGCTAATGCGGTAAAAATCACGAGGGGCAAGATTCTCGTATCGTTTTCGCAGCCGTGAAAAACAGTCGCTCGGCGGGAAAACTCGTTCGCGGAAGAAGCCTCGAAGTCGTTGGGCGTCGGTTACGGAGCAGCCATTCGGCGGTTTTCATCTCGCTGTTATTTTCCTCGACCATGCATAATGCTCGGGGATGGTGTACGGCATGGCGCACGGTACGCGGTACGCGGTACGCGGTACACGGTACACGGTATACGGTATACGGTATACGGTTGGACGGGAGATGCTGCATTTTGCTGCCGCAGAACGGAGAAACGCTCGGCTAACCGCAAATATTTTACGCCGCCTTCGGGCGAGCCTCGCGTAGCTTCGTTTAGGTGTACTACTATAGCCGCGAACGCTACGGCGTGTCTCCGAACCTGGCACGCTTCCCCCGAAAGCCAGAACCGAGGCCCCGAGAACAGAGCCGAGAGCGGAGCCGAGTCGTTTCGAGAGCTGTTCCGAGCCGAAGCACGGCGCATCGGATTCCGAGCACGTATCCTGCTCCAACCTGCAAAGGATACTTCTAATCGAGTCCAGAAACCCGTGTTACTTCGAGTTCCCGCGAAAGAGCCACGTCCGTTCACGATCAACCGGAGAGTCTTAAAGATTTCCCGCATCGAGCGTCGATCGCTGTTCGGGTAATTCGCCGCAACGGCTCCTAAAAGTGCTGTCCGTCGGATAGCCGTCTACGCCATCCAATTTTTATGAGACGACCCGACCCGTCTCGTCTCGTCTCGTCTCGTCTCGTCTCGTCTCGTCTCTTTACGCAACGACCCCGGGAAATTAATCGCAGCCGCTCTTTCGTACCTCGCTTTCGATCTTGTCGGCGGAAAACAAGAGATTTCCGCAGCCGTTGGCCGCGTTGCTACCTCTTTCGCGAAGGTCCAGCCGGACGGCAGTTTCACGGCAGCCGAGCAACTATGCGGGCTACCGCATTGCACCCGAGGAATCCGAACGGGGGTGCGTGTGCTCCTCGATTTCGCGCGTCGCCGGGCACGGGACATCGCGACGAAAAAATTTAATTACAATTCGAGAACCGTGGCATGGGGCAGGTGGCGAAGGGTGGTAAAGGGCGAGGACAAGAAACACGGAACCACCGCTATCGCCGGTTGTCCCTCGTTCCAGAAATAATCCAGCGACGCGTCTCTCGTTGCCTCTTTCTTCGAGCCCGGTAAATCCGATCAATTTGGATCGTTGGCTCGCTCGTCGTCCGACGAATTTGATCGAGTCCACGCGCGACGAATTCCTCGAATCCCGAATCCCGAATCTCGAATCTCGAATCTCGAATCTGGAAGAAGATCCGGTTCGAGGGTGAGTTTAGCTCCGTTGAGAATCACTGTTCTACCTGTTTGCCCGTAGCAACCCGATGTCAAGATAATTAGGGACTCGACCGGCCAGATTTCCCTCTTCGTAACCCCATCTAAATCTGCGGTCTGCGGACAGCTAAACAGTCTCGTGTAATACACGAGTGTAGGCGAATCGATTGGTAGCGACACGGGCCATCGGAGTTCCCGGCGAATCTCGGGGGGTCGCGTCGCGTCGCGTCGCGTCGCGTTCGGTTCGCGAACTCGAATCGCCGGGAATTCTTGCCAGAAAAACGAAAGGACTTTCTCCGAAAAACGCCTTCCCGCTCGATGCGGCTCGCTCCACGGAGCGTCCCGTCGTTTTTTCGTTTACAAATATTCGTTCGCGACGGACCCCTTTGGCGGCTCGGTTCGACGTAACCGAGGACGCGACGCGACAACTCGCTCGAATCTCCCGGACGATGTTTTTCAACGATCCGGCCGGCTACGCGGAAGTTCGACGCGGTGCAACGAGCAGCCAACCGCTAACCGATGTCGGTCGCTTTTCGTTTCGGAGCGCAACGGATGTTGCAACTTCCGAGCGACTTGTCGAGAGTTTCGCCCCGCCTCTCGATTTCCGCGCGTTCCCGCGCTAATTAGCGGGGACCTGGTTTTTCCGCAACCTCGACGAAGCCATTCGGCCGTGCTCCTCCGGCTACGCGAGTCCGCCGTATTGTCCGGACAAAGGAAACGCACCGGCGGGGACTATTTTTAACGAAACCCGAGGCGAAACGAAGGCTTCGCGGAAACCAACCTGCAATTACTACCCGCGGAACGTCGCTTTTCCTGCAGGGTATCGTAAATCCGCTGCCGATACTCCGTAGAGAACGCCGACGTTACTCCGTGTATCGTACGAATCGTTTCGACCGCGAAGAATTACGTATTCCGCGTGCCGAGGTTTCGCGTTCCTTTCGCGACGAGTCGGCGCGGTGCTTTCGCGCCATCGCGTCAGCGGCGATAACTTATTTCGAGGATTTAATTATTCGCGGGTATCCCTTCGACCGTCGACGGCACGTCGATCGTATGCCGATCGATCGTCGTTAATGGGACCCCGTTACAGCGGGCGCAGCCTCGATCGCCGCGGCCGCGAACGCGAGAAAACGAAGAAGACCCTTTGATAAATTGTTTTGCTCGTTCCGCGCGATCTTTTATCGGGAGAAACGCGACGCGTCGCGTCGCGAGTGAAATCCTCGCGCGTCGATATTCCCTCGTTTAATTTATTACCGTCGTCCCGACGGGAGTAATTACTCTTTAGCATCGAGGCGAGACAACTCGCTGGGAAAAAGAGAGATACGCCGTTTTCGAATCGGATGGCGTTCGTTCGAATGCCCCGGTAACGAGTCGCCCGAGAGAGAAAGAGGTAGAGAGAGACGGTTCTCGCGGAACGCCGTGGAATTATTATTACGGTAGACACCGTTCATCCCTCGTCTTACGGTGTCCGGCTTTCCGGACGGCCATTTTCAGAAACCGAACTCGGCGGACGCGAGCTTTGTTCGTTGCTTCTCGCTCGACGTGAAATATTATTCGCGCGCCGGAGAATATAATTTATCGATTACAGATTTGTTGCTTCGATTCGATGATTTATCGGAAGGAAACTTTGAAAATTCGGACACTTTGAAACGATCCTAGAGAATAATGTAAAAAAGAAAAGAAAAGGACGAGCGAAATTAGCGAATTAGAAACGATAGGAAATCGCGAACAAAGAGCAGCCGTTGCAACGAAAAATTTAAATACAAAGGAGCATCGGCGCTAGCGTCGATCGATCGACGCGGTATTTTTATTTTTATTTCGCGATAAGAAATTCCACGATAGCGACGCGAAAAATTACGAATTTGCGTAAATATCCGCTGGTAATTTTATAGCGGACGCGGCGCGGCGCGGCGCGGCGCGACGAGGGGAGCCTGTTCCAAAAAATGGATCAAAAAAGCCTCGCGACGCCCAGGCTATAATTTCCTCCCTTGGCATTTCGAGGGTAAACTTTCTTCGCGCGTTCCCACAAGAAATTGAATCGCGCCAACAAATTACGCGTAGCAAGTGCAAATAACGCGCATAAATCCGTCGATTATTTTAACGGCTACATCGATCGGCGGAGTACGCCTTTTAAATAGAATTACTCGCACACGCGTAAAGTACGGTACATTAAAGTTTTAATCGCGCGCCGCGCGCGTATACCGTCTCCTATAATTCTTTGATCGGTTTTATCAACGCGTTTAGCGCTCGCCGATAAATAAATAAATGTGTCTCTAAAGCGAAAAGCACGGCACGCGGCTCGAGAAAACCTGTAATTACCGTCCGGAGCAAAAAGGAACGTATCGATGGCTGGGAACCTGTATGTACAGGGTGATACGAGCGGATAACAACATCGATGTTCGATCTTCGTTCGATGGCGCGAATAACGCGCGCGAACGATTCTCTTGCCGAGTTCGAGAATCGACCGACTCGACGATCTTTTAAATACAGTCTCGCGTATTACCGCGACGCGGCCCGAAAGAAGCGCCGCTTTGATAGTTTAGCATTTCCTCGAGCGACGCGGGGGTCGAGAGGGGTCGGTGCGATAAAAACGCAACGGGCACGATAAAACCGCGTTACAACGGTCGACGGGAATAAAACAGTCGAGGATATCGTATCTCCTCGAACCCCGTGGCCCGTCGTTACCCGGTTTTATCGATGATATCGCGATGGACGGTATCCCGGCCCGCGAACGTCCATAATTCGCGACGCGAAAACACTTTTTCCCCGCGACGTCGGGGAATTATTAAACGCGGTAGCCGAGTGGCGTCGGGACCGCGCGCGGGACTTTCGAGCCGTAATCGAACGGTCGAATCGAACGAAATAAGAAAAGACGAGACGGAAGGAAGCCGGAAGAGAGACTCACAGTTTTTGTACGGTGGGCAGGGCTCTCGGAATCTGGGTGAGTCCTCTCTCGGAGCAGTTGGCGTTGTCCCCGGTACAGATGCACAACCACGGGCATCTAGCGCCGTTCATGTCCTCGATCGTGCCGGAAAAACCACCGAGACCGAAACCACCGATGGCGGTACCATGGGAGGCGCCACCGCCCAGCACGGACAATATCAGCAAAAGTCCCCAGGCGCACAGCACGGATCCGCAGCTGACGCCCAGCAGACGCAGCGACCAGACGGGTGTCATGGCGCGTGCCACCGCCAACATCTTCCGGTTAATGTCCTTCACGGCGCGGTTCGATCCCTCGAGGATCTTGGCGAAGCTGCCGGCCCGGCTCTTCGGCCGTATACCGTTCGGGTCGTAGAGGCTGTAGCGCGGCGGCTCCCTGTTCGGTATCCTGGCTACGTTGATGTCCGTGTAGTCGTAGCTCGGGGGCGGCTCCAGGAACGAGGATATCTCGAAGCCTTCGGCGGCCGGGCAGCCGAGGATCCTCACCGGCTCGAGAATCGGGTCCTGCTCCAGACGTATCACTGAGCACTCGAAGTCATTCGCCGTCAAATCCGTCGAGGTCTGGTGGACCTGTCTTTCCGTGGCTTTACCCCGCGACCGGTCCCGCCTGCGACCATGAACCCGGCACGATCGATTCGGATTTCTCCGCGTGCTGTCCGCGTGGTGTCTCGAGACGCCAGCCGGCGGCGGCACCCTGTGCCTGTGCGCCAGACACTGTTGTCCCCTACGCTCGAACGTCTCGGCGCAGTCGGCCGACGTCCGTCGCGGACGTTTCGCGCGGCCCTCCGAACTGCTGTCGGCTATCGGATGCAGATCCAACGCGACCACCGCCGGACGATGGGGCTGCTGCTGTTGCTGCTGTTGTTGCTGCTGCTGCTGCTGCTGATGCTGATGCTGCTGCTGATGCTGCTGCTGATGATGATGATGATGATGACGGCAGTGCCGGTGATGATAGTGCACCAACACCGGGGCCTCGTTCAGCGCCGCGCCGCACTCGATTCGCAGTGTCTCGCAGTCGTTGCCGCCAGCTTCCAGCCTCGACGCCGAGTCAGCCTCGAGCTCCGAGACCCGTCCGCGATCGGCCTCCGGACCTGGACCACGCGCGGCACCGCCGAGGTCCTCCGTCGACGATCGGACCTCTCCGTTGCCGACCTCTCCGTCCCCCTCCGAGCTGGTCAGAGACGTGGCTACCGAGGACGATGGCCGCTCCGGAGCTAGACCATCCAGCCGGTGGCCCTTTCGGGGGCCGTGCACTGGGCCCCCCTCTCCTTCCTCGGGCCCCTCCGCCGAGCTGTTGGACACCACTAACGGCACCACCCGGTCCTGCTCATCCTGGGCGACCGCTCCCACTGACCTTATCTTGACGCTGGTCTGGAACCTAGTCTCTACCGTACCCGATCGGGTACGAGGTCGCAGCGCGGGATGTACGGTTCCCCGGGAACGATACACCGAAACTCATTTACCGGTTCCCGAATTATCTGTCGCAACCCTTGCCGCTACGATGCCTCTCTCTCTCTCTCTTCCTCTCTCTCTCTCTCTCTCTCTGGCTCGCGCGCGCGCGAGCGATCGTTAATCTTGCTGTCCTCGCGTCCAACGGGATCAGGCTCGCGCGTGTTCCTTGGAACGCTGCCGGTGCCAGCGACGATGCTACCGACGCACGATCCTCTGCTTCTTCTTGTTCGATATCGAACGGGCTGCCGTTCGACGAGTCAACGATCTCAGGAATCGTTAAACGGGCATTATAGTGGACGACAGGCTCGTCGTTTCGGATGCCGACTGATCCAGAAACTTGACGCGGCAGTGATGCATCACCTGCAACAAGAAGCGGAGGGGCATGAGAGGCGAGTCGATTTATCAGCGACACCCGGTTATCATAATTTTGCCTGGCGACGCGCATCGACGCACGGTCGCTCGCAAAATCGATTCTTAAACGGCCGCGATGAAAGGGACGAGACTCGGAACGCTGCGTTCTTCGGGGTAGAAACGCGTTTTTTTAGTACTTTGATAGCGTATCCCCGTTTCGCTTTCCATAAAGTGAAAACTTAGTTTCGGATTTAATATAAAGTAAATAATAAATATTTGGTGTACCAAAACTCGCGAAGGAGAAGAATAACGCGCGACAAAGTCGCGATTCGATCGGTCCCCGTCGACGGAACTCGAGCGTGGTTAGAGAACGCCGCTAACCGTCCTCGACAACGAGAGGAACCCGATACAGACTTTCCCCAGACGCTGTTTTTCCAGGCCCACCAGCAGTCACCGAAAAATACACTTTCCCAGCGGTAAGCAGATGCGGTACTTCGGACTCGAAGAAGAAGAAGAGCGGAGCCGGAACGGCGCGGCGCAGAGAGTTACAAAGAGTGGGACTCGCCGCTGCAATATCGGAAGTACGAGAAAAATATGCTTTCGAAGCACAATCAAGGACTCGAACGCATTCTATGCACAGCCGTTCGAGTTGCGCGAGGCATATTGGAATTTTTCCCCGACATTTTCCTTCCGCCGCGCCGTCAACCCTCTCCTCTCTCGTCCCGATCCTTTTTTCGTTCTCTCGCTCATGGATATCTCCCTTTCCGACGTTTCTCTTCTCTTCCACTCGTCCGCCCGGGCAACGCGCCTCGAACCAACGTATCAGCACGCGCGACGTCTCGTGTACGCGTTGCTTGCCCGTAAGTGGCCCCGGATACGTTTCCACGATTTATCGCTACCTGGGAACACCTGGAAATAGAATGTCCGGGCGGCGTCCACCGACCGGTGCTCCCTGAATTAAATTCGCGCGGCACGCTCAGCCCCTACCTGTCGCGAGAACCCGCTCGACGAGGGTTGCGAAATCATTTTCGCGGGTACCTGTCCCGCGCGAAATATTCGGTCGCGGATTTCTGCTAGAAATCTGTCCGAAAGTCTATCGTTCGGCACGAGGAATTTCCTCGCGGAAATTTGTTTTCCGGATGAAAATCTGTTTAGCGCCGGAATTAGACGATTCGGACAAGTTTTTCATAGCGTGCTCCGCGTATACGCCGTTTCACGGTTCAGGGACAACGAATACAACTTTGCAACCGCGCTTCGCATTTAGCAACGAGAAGAACATCCGTCGTTTCGGTAAAACTTTTCTCATGCATCCTCAATTTTTCCATTTCGTCCAACGTCGTTTTCGATAACGGACGAATGCGAACGATTGCTCTTAATATCCTACAAACCCGCGCAAGAAAATATAACCTTGTCATTTCGTTCGCGTCGTTCCAGTACACCCATCGTCTCGACAGCCGACCAACGCGACGGTCGTCGGAAATTCGAGCAACGCGCCGTTGCACCGCCCGAGGGACGGTTTTTTTTCGCGATTTTCCACGCGACCGACCCAGGAAGCTCGTCCTCCGCCGAGTCTATTCGCCAAAGGGTGGCACGTATTTGAGAAAAGCAGCGCAGAGGGGTGGCGAGTGGTCGCGCGTTTGCCCAGTCAATTTCATTAGAAGCTGCAGCATATGTCCCGGCTTTTCAGCCTTCGAAACCGTGCGCGCATCGCCTTGGTTTTCGGATCGAGAGGATTGGGACATACGGTTCCGGTGTCCCATGTAGCGTCGCGTGCCACGAGAGCCTCGTTTTCTTCCGACCAACCGAGCCGCCCAACGCTCCTCTTCGACAACGTTACCGACGATATTTTGCCAATGTTCGCAATTGCCTTTATCCGTTCTCGACACGGTTAAATATCGCGGAAAATCCGACTCGACGCAGCCTGTCCCGTCGCACGGTAGCCTAACCCGTTGACGCGGACCGAGAGTGCGTCGCAGGGGGTCGCATCCCCACGGATCTTCGTCAATATTGTCCCATGGGACCCTTTTCGCTCGGATCGTTTGCCCTCGGAATTTTAAAAGCATTAGCCGACTAGGCAAACGGGCTAGCTCCGAAAAGTAGAACGAAAAATACAACGGTCGCGCGGGGGCCGCGCGATCGGCCCGGAGAAGCGCGAGAGGCGTCGATCGACCGTGCCCCCGGAGAAGTCAAATATTTATCCAGCCAATTATCCCGGTGACACGCGAGTCGACGAAACCCCGGAGACCCAATATCGCTCCCCCTTCGTCGAATACAATTTATTCCAACGTATAATTTTCCTAATTACATCGGCTGCACGCACAGCAGCGTTGCTACACTTGCCCCGGAACGGGCGGACGAAGAGGGAGAACCGATCGATTCGCTCCGTCGCTTCGTCGCCGTGGCGGTCCGAAACGCGTTTCCAAGAAAAATCCCCAAAAAAGTTTTCGATTCGTCGATCGTTGCGATTTGTTTCGCAAAGTCGTCCGCTTCTTTTCGAGGGCGCGAAATCGTTCGTAGTTGACGCGCTCGACGCGACGCGGCGGGAAGGGTTGGAAGAAAAAGTCGCTCGCCCCGGGGTCGTCCGGTACTTTGCCTCGATTAATACGCGCTAACGTTGTTAATTAATGCCGAGTACCCGTGTTACGGGAAGACCGGGAGAGGCGCGAGAAGTTCGCTCGCCGATTTGTCTCGCATTCGAACCCGGGTTCCCCTACCTTCGCGTCTTAACTTCGACATCGGAGAGAGAGGGAGAGAGAGGGAGAGAGAGAGGCCAGACTCTACGATATTATCTGCCGGAGAGTGCTCGAGAATATTATACGCGCGTGGTGTACACACCGCCTACCCCCCGCCCTCTGCCCTCCCAACCCCGTCGTCGAGGGCTGGGCTACTTTAACCGTACTCGAGAGCCGACCGGATGGAGGGCACGGGCGAAGGGGCGACAGTGTCTACAGAGGAAGCGTCCCGCCTAACTGTCCTCGGTGTCGACTACTGCTAATCGAATTATCGATCCCTGTCCCGCCGCGTCGCTCGAACAGAATATTAGATTTTCGAGGAATTTCGATGCGGCACGCGGACTCGCCGCGGGCTTCTTTCGTACGGTCCGCTTTGTTCTCGCCCGGTGTTAACCGATTCGATCTCGACGAATCCACCTCCCGGGCAACCCCTTCGTCTTTGGCCTTTGCCCAACGCAGCCGTTGCTACGGGCGTACGGATTATTGGCTGCGGAGTATCTTCGAACGAGGAGAAAGGTAACGGAGACGTTGAAAGACTCGTCGATGGGCGTCAAAATGGAAACGGCTGTCGCGGGCGAGGATCGTCCCGAAGTTTTCGCCGCGATGCCGAGACACCGCGGAACTCTTCGAAGATCTTGAAAATGTTGGTAATGCTTTATAATTCTAATAAGAGATAGTTCGGGACCGTTTCAAAGGCGTAAAACGTCGCGGGTCGAAGTTACAGATTCGAGGATTTATCGGGAATTTTGTTGTTCGTCTCCAAGGTGACAGTTTATACGTTGTTTCGAACGGCATCTAATCGGCATCGTGTTCCCCAAAAGTCGCTATAAACGCGGCGGCACAGCGTCTCCCGACTGTTTTCGAATCGCGGCTTCGCAGTTCGATTCCCTCGTCGAGCGCGTCTACCGCGAGAAGAGCCGGGTGTATCGACTAAATTATATTTCCTCCGGCTCCTACAAAGTGTGCGTATTCGATGCGCAGGCAGCTCGGCCCGAGCGTACGATATACGGAGAAGAAACGGGGAATCCCTTTGAGCCCGCGCGCGCGCGGGCCGGGAGAGAAGAGGAAAATCAGACGGTTGGTTCCACGGATAGCCGATACAGCGCCGAGCCGGGAATATTGCGTTCTTATTGTAATATATTTGTAAGCCACTTCGCCAGACAATTTCATCCCGTACGAATGTAGGCAGGTGGATATAGGAATATTCCTCCGAGGTATATCGTTATAGCGCGCCGTAGGGGAGGCCGATTATTTGTCGAACGCTTCGCGAGACAAAGGAGGACGCAATTTTCGAAAAATGAAACACTCTCGTCCGTTTCGTATCCTTCTTCCTCGAGAACCGTCTCGTCGACGATAAACGTTATCCTTCCGTCTTCCCATTCCGTCGTTGCTGCGGATTTTCACGCAAAGTTAAAATCACGTCGCTCTCATCGTACGGAAGTTGCACGGACGCTCGTTCGCTTCGCCCGGTGGATCCCCGAACTACCGCGACCCCGGATCGTTTTTAAATCTCGTATAATTTAGCTTTCGATCGTTGCTGGCATAAATTTGTTTTCAAGTAGAATTTTAATCGTTCGTATACTACGACCAAAAGCATCGTATTTATCGGTACAGCCGAAACCGTCGCATCGTCGCATCCATTCTACGAGCCGAAACGTCGCGTCGTTTAAAAAGCATCGTCCCCGACCTTGATCGCCAACAGATTATGCGCTTCTCTCGGATCACGGGGGTAGCCAATTACCAAAAGAATAACCGACACAAAATCGATTCGACGAGTAAACCGATTTCGCTCGGACCGAAAAGTCCGAAATCGATTTTATTCGATATTAATTCAAAGGGAACGAGCGAAAGGGGTTAACACCGCCGCGAACATCCCCTTACGCGGCAGGTTCGAGGATAACGCGGGGGTTGGCACGCGCGGTTTCCCATTTCCCCCGAAAGTTTTCCCGTAACACGGTTTTCCCCGTGGGCTCGTGGCTTCCGAGCGAACGAGACACGCGGAACCGACCGATGATTTTTCACGAAAAAGCCCCGCGACCCGCAGTTTGCTTCGGAGGCAGAGATGTTTGGTTAACATGTGTGCCTAATGGCCCGTGCGAAATGGATTTTTAAGGTCTCCGTTTTAAGACGGGCGAAGAGACGGAAGAGCAGCCGGTCTCCCCCCCCCTCCCTCTCTCTCTCTCTCTCTCTCTCTCTCTCTCTCTCTCTC